CTCCCTTTCTCTGCTTTTTCTGTCTTTCCTTCCATTTGTTCTTTTCAAGATTGGGCACATTAACCTTTCTGCTCATATTCACAAGAGTAGTTAAATATTTAATGGGTTAATTATATATTAAATCAAATTATTATTATTATTTTATCAACTAGACTTTGTCAACAACGCAAGATATAATTGTTTTAACACTGACAAACATCTGTTATACAGTATGTGGCCGGACTATCATGTTGAAGTAGTTGCTTTATTTGTTATATGTGTTGCAGAAATCAAACAGGAGTGTCACTAAACTGTGTCGTAAATGAAGTCATAACTTTGTCTCCAAGAAAAGTCTATAGGCCTACTGTAAATGCAAAATATATAATCAGTGTAAAAGTAAAGACAGTTGCAAAACATACTGACACTCCATCTTTGTCTGCAGTTACTGCATGTTTTCTTGGGAAGCTCACAGGTCACACAAGGTGTTCGTCGGACCTCAGTGGGTTGGGGATGTTTAATGTCCATTACGACTGCACTATATCTCTCCGTTAGCTCACAGCTGCGGCGAAAACCACCGGCACTTACCGGCAGCCTGCAGCCTGTGGTGGCATCTTCCCACCGAGACTGTGTGATGAACATCAGAAACGTGGTTGTGATTTTAGATGTGATGTTTAATTTAAGGCTCTTTTCTCGCATTCCCTCATAATTGCATTTTTATGACCCTCCGCTCCTCCTGAATATCTCAAAGTCATTTTATGTTTAATCCAAGCAAAGCCCTGTTTCAGCTAAAAAACATCAGCTCCTGTGCAGCAGATGATTTACTAGAAAGGGAGAGTTAAAGTCCCTGTAAACCATGTTAGACAGCGCAGGCTTCTGATATGAGCTCAGTGATTCTGCTGAAGTTACAGTTAATGATGACAGAACAGATTTGGTTATTTCACATGAGAATTTCTTGTAATTGTGTTTTTTTTTTCTCTGCTTTTTTTGAATAACGGATTTAAAGTGGGCATGGCTTAGCTTGTAAAAGTTAAAGTCAAATATTTCCATGCATCAATCAGTTTAGTAACATTTCAATCAAAGTCTGATTATGATTGTGGGGTTTCAACGTCCAATATTTGACCTGCAACTTTTATTTTTGGTCACATGGGCAGTGCTAACAAGCTGTAAACAAAACAACGAAACCACCTTTTAAGTTTATATAGCTAACTTTTTAGCAGTTATCTACTGAGACATCCAACAGACACGGAGCAACATTAGCATTTATTTGGAGTTTTGTTGTGGCCACCTGAGGATTAAGTCCAGTGCTCGTTCTCTTTTACCTCTTTTTGGTAGCAACTATGTCCTGAGGGAAATATCTGGATCTTTAGCTGCGAAATGGTCAGCTAAGTTCATCGGATAGTCATTAACCTGTTGGCTTTCACTAAAAATGCTGCCGGCTCTGGTCTAAACTGCAACAGCAATACTAGAGTTGTGGACTGTAAAACCAAAACAGTGAGCTAAAAGATGCTAAAATGGGAACTGTAGATTATCTGTTGGTTTGCCACTACAAGCAATACCACTCACATTACACATAGTCAGCTGATCAGTTGTGGATCATCGCAAACTAGACAACATAAACTTAAATGCCAAACTAAATAGATCCCTTTGTATTTCCTGTGGAAATGTTTTCATGACATTAGCTGACAGAAAGTAAAACATGGACCCAAGCTGTTGCCTAGCAAGGCAATCCCAGTGAAACGGTCCATATAAATATTGATTATAGCAGCTTTAAAGGTACAGAAAGGCAGGGGCATAGTGTGGGGTGGCCTCTGGGGCTCCAGTCCCAAATGTTTTCTATAAAGCCCTGAATCTTTTTGGTTTTTAAAATACCTTCAACTTTGTGTCATTCAGATAATAATATAATTTCATGTTGTTTTTTTTCTACTATACTGTTCACTAAAGAAATCTAAAATAATTGAGTAAATGTTCTTTTGTTTGGTTTTGTTCTGCATCCTTGATTTGCAGTTAGAGCAGTCAAGATTATTATGGCATAGATAGATTTGTCAGCTAAACATTTATTTTCTGACATTTACTCCAGCAGAGTATAATGGCAGCTGGTTTTAGAACGTAAAGCTTGTCACCTGTTTCAATAGCCAGTCAGCTTGTAGTGAAGTCCAATGGTCAAGTCAAAATGACCACCGACGGCTGTTTGCTTGCTGCAGCAGGTGCTCTGTCCCCGCCAAGCCCTCTGTTTCCGTCCTCATGGTGTGCCGGTGTGGGACAGTGCTGCTGCTGTTCGCTGTATGTGCTTATACCCTCCCACACACACATTCTCATTGACTAACAAATAGGCGATGGTTATTTATATTACTGTGGCGTATTTATTATGATTATAGTCCATCTGATGCGTGTTCTTGTCGCCATTTTATCACTAAACACAACCATAGCCAGTATCTCACTATCACTATCCTCATTCATATTTTAAAAGGCTACAAATTATATTCAGCCACAAAATAAGCCCAAAAAGCTGGAAATCAGAACAAAAGTACAGAGAGTTGTTGCATAGAGATGATACACCATCTCATCTAGTTGCAATGGTGTGAACCAGCAGGTTTTTAGAGCGTTGCAGAATGGCACATTGCAAGTAGCTGCATGTTTCAACTCGTCTCATCACAAATATTTGGTCTGAACTGGGCTTTAGATATGAAAAAGGAAGGTGGAAGGTGGACTATTGCAGGCAAATTTTCTGTAAGTTAGTAAGTAAGGCTATTGATAACTTACTCTGAATGCTACTTGATCACTTTATGATCACATCACTATTACACACAATCATTTCCACCTCAATTGTTTTTGAGGTTGCTTCAATTTAGGAAAAAATGCTGGATATCCTAAATACTGGCATTTTAACCCCCTTCACAATTTTTTTGAATTGATTAATATTCTACAGGCCAGATGGGGCTCTTAAGCAGGCTGTATGTGGCCCACTGGTGCCAGTTTATGATCGCTGCTCCACAGGATGATTTCTTTCCTTGGCAAATACCATGTTTTTCTCCAGCGATGTACAGATTTTTATGCATTCTATTATCTTAAATAGCTTGAGAAATAGTGCATATAGCTGCTGTAAATTGGAAAATGCCCCTCCCCCCTTAGGTTTGTTACTGAGTCTGTTTACTGAGTCCTGAATGTTTACAACAGCAGAAAAGTACTTAATATTTTACACCAAGTTTGCAATAACTGTAAAGAGGTGTGATTGCTGATTTCTAACTCGTCAGATTCTCAGGTCACATCCGTCAAGTGTTACTCCCAGGTTTTACCATCACTTCATTAATTAGTACTTTCTCAGTTGTTTGTGACGTGTCCCATCAAAATAATGAGACAACATTCATTATTAATGATAATTCATCTTCACATCTATAATTCATGGAGGGAGGCAGAGGGAGGGTCAGAGTTTGGTGACCTAAAACTTCATTACGTGTCTCAAGGTAAATAGGAAGACAACTTTCCTCTCCCTGGTGTGGGTTTCTGGCGGGTCAGTCCCATCACGGAGGCTCGTGACAATGATGACGGAGGTGATGATGAGGATGGTGACGTACAAAGATGTGTTTGTGTGTTTATGTGTGTGTGTATGTGTGTGCTGTGAAAATTAGCATTATTCTGTGTGTGCACAGGTTTAAGAGTGCACGTTAAGGTACAGCTGAGTGTGCGTACGGCATATATATAAGACCCTCTTGGACTTCCCGACACCCCCATACACCCCTCCCCCCCCCTCGTCCTCCTCATTCTGTGTAAATGAAAATGCAAGGCTATATTTGGACAGAGCTGATGTCACAAGTGGTTTGAGCGACGAGCCTATAACTGTTGGAGTCTGTTTGTGTGACAGTCTGACAAACCCTGGGCTGCTCCAGTGACGGACTGGGATCTGCTGGCTACTGGCTGAAACAACAGAAAGTAAGTGCTCTGTCTTACTTAAGGGCTTAGTTTGTCTTTTATACAGGATTATGTTTCAGTCCAATTCTTCTGTGTATATATATGAATGGGATGCTACAGGAAATGAACAGTTTTTAGTTTGTATAAATAGTTTTTCTATGGGTTTGAATAGGATACTTTGCTAAATCTCCACCTCTACCTCTCTTTTAAATTAACAAAACTACTGTATGTTACTGTACTGTATATTATAAATTCAAGATTCAAATGCTTTCTAAAGACATCAGATATGTCTTGTTACATCACAGGAAAATGTGTATAAAACGATGCAGAGGAAATTTTGGATTTTCTATTTAATGTAAGAAAACATCACCAACCATGTAACAAAATATGTTTTACTGAGAAGTGTAATGTACAGACACTTTACTAAAGCAATACAGCTGTGCAATATATATATCATGTTAAATCTGACGATATTGTGGGGTTGACTACTAAAATATTTATACAGTGATTTTTTTTTTATAAATAACCGCAAGTAATATGGATATAACGAGTAAGTGGATAAAAGCAAATAATAAAAAATATAACAGTCTGGTCAGTTCAGAAAATTACACCACTTTACTGTAAAGCTGCCTTTAAAAACAAGAAAAGACAACACTTAGAATATTATGATATCCAAAATCGTAGATGATACCTATTCTCATATGATATTAATACAATATTGACAAGCTTTAATCTCAAGCTGAAAAGATTAATTAACAGAAACGGCAACTACTTTCATTATCAGTGTCATTATATGTATAATATTCACAGTTGCACGAGGTGTAGTTCTTTCTTTTTTTTAACCTATTACACTTATTTATTAGTGTGAGGTTAAATGTATGGAGGATGTGGTTTAAACTGTCGGCATCTTGCAGGAGTCGTTAATTTCATTGTGTTTTTTTAATGAAAAGTGACAATAAAAGGCATTCTGATTCTGATTTCTCAAGCAAAAATGTCAAATATTCTCTGGTTCAAGCCCTTAAAATGAGATAATTTGCTCCTTTTCTTTGCCTTATGTGACAATGAATTCAATATCTTTGGGTTTTGGATTGTTGGTCAAACAAAAAAAAAGCATTTTTAGGACAACAACTTGGCTTCTGAGAATTTGTGAAGGGATTTTTTTTTAATTTTCTGCCATTTGTTAGACAATATTAATGGATGGATAATGACAATAAGTGTAAGTTGTAACCCTACTTTAATTATTTAGCTGGGCAACAGGAAAAGATATCTGAAATCTGTATATGCTTGGTAGATGCTGATGTATTACTGACATTGAATCACTGAGCACAGCTTTAAATTAGACTGTAGGTTAATGTTAGATTGTACTGAAATATAGGAAACAGTACTGTTGTTTTCTCCTGCATAATAGCGACTCTTTAAATTCAGAATTTTTAGAAATGAAACACTTTTATGTATGTTATATTTTGACATTATGTATTGTTGATGTGCATCAGTTGGTAAGTGTGTGTGCTGCTGTCTTTTGGCCGGGTCTTTGTAGTTAAATGAAGGTTAATTACAACAAATATTGCCCATAAGTCCCCCATAACAAATAAATCTAACTTTGTTCCTCTGATCTGTGTTGATTCAGGTAATCACCCTACATTATGTATCACCTGAGGGTGCCTGTGCTTCTCCTCATGCTGCTTGTGCTGCTGCGCTGCGTCACCGCTGCCCCAAGCTACAGGTAAGTGTGCATACTACAGGCAGAGCTCTCTGTGTGGCTGTGTAAGTGGTCTAAGATTAGGGGCAGAGTTTAACTGGTGGCAATCAATCAAATTGTGCAGGTTTCACTTTGCTGAGATGTTGATCATATTAGATCTGAGGTCAGCAGACGGGCAGCTGAGTATCATGGAGATTGTGCGATAGGTGCTGTAATGTTCTGCGTGAGGAGCAGCAGAGCATTGATAACTCTGGAGGTGGGAGCCAATTGTGCTCGTCTGTGGGAAAGTGCTTCATTGTGCAACTCGTGGGGAGCTAAGTGCCCACTTTTTCTTCCCGCTCTCGGGACTTGTGAATGTTTTGAAGAGGCTATAATCAGCTATCAGTGTAAAACGCTTTGGCCCTTTTCCCTCTGTAATTCAGGTACTTCAGTCCAAGCTCATCTGGCGAGCTGGAAAGTGCTCTCCCAGACGGTGACGGCTGGTTAGCTCCTGGGCTAATCTCCAACCCGTTCCTCAGCCTCATGGGTACACGGCCGGAGAGGGGGCTCACAGCTATGAACAGGTAACAGCAAACCAAAAACTGTATTAAATCCTCCTTACATGAGAAACATTCTCTCTGTGAGTGTTACTGTGACGTGTCTGTACTTTCTTCGACCCCCAGTCACCACGTTGAGAAGAGGAAATGCAACACAGCCACCTGCGTCACCCAGAGGCTAGCAGACTTCCTGGTGCGCTCCAGCAACACTATCGGTACCGTGTACGCGCCGACCAACGTGGGATCTTCCACCTACGGCAAGAGGGACCTACTGCAGCCTCGCAGCTACCTGCCTCTCTAGTACCGACTGAGGAACCTCCACCAGCACTCCCAGTGCTCCAATGATATAACCAGACATCTTATGTAACAATGATTGTGACAATGACGTTACTAACGATGACATCGATAGTGATGATGATGATTATGAAGAGTTTTCTTGTTTATTTTATAAGCTTTTAAAAAAACAGTGCCTTTAATTTAAACCATCAAAGTCCATATATGTTTCTTTTTTCTTTTTTTTGCATTTGCATTTGTGTGTTGTGACTCTGTTAATGCTGTTCCACAATGGCATGATGTGAATATAACAATACATCAGAGTAAATAATAAAAAAAAAGAAGAAAAAAAAAACAGATGTAAAGCCATGAGAAATGTTATCTGTTGATTTTGATAATAAAATTTTAAAAATATATTTTTGAAAATCTTAATGCGTTTAAAGCCACATTATTGTGTATCATGACAGCTGCATGCAGAAGCTAAGAGCTGTTAGCAGCACATCATCAGCTGGTAGTCCTACATGGGATGTCCATTAAAACAAGTATTAGTTCTAGTTAAGTGAGTATAATCACCAGCTCCCACCTAGTTTCTCCATGTGTCACATAAACTACAGAATGAACTCTCAAACAAAGGAGACGTGCAATAGATCTGTTTCGATTAGCTTCATCAATAACCTGCTGTGGTGTCATGTGCGGGGACTTGCCATACACATTATGATTTGGTTCCTGCTTTACCTAATTAACCTTTAGCTAAGTCCCGCCCCTGAATGCAGACTGACCAATCATAATGTAGCATCAGGCCACAACACAGTATACACAGTGTATCCACCTTATTTCCAAACACAGAAGTAAATAGTGATCAACTTCCGTGTTTTTGTGTGTGAGTTCTGGTCAGCCACTTTCCCTCATGCTTTCCCTTACCAGAGCTAACGATGCAAGCTAATTTTTTTCAATTTTCAGTTGTTTATGTTAGTCAACCAGTTAGTTAGTTAGTTAGTTAGTCTGTGTATTTTATATAGATAACTGTGCCCACGTTTCCGTTATTCGGTAATTGCCAGTAAAAATTATTCCCTCTAAACGCGAATAAATCGCACGTCTCCAGTGTACCAGCAGAGAACCTGCAGAACCGAATCAGCGAAAAAACACACCAGGCTACACAGCCTCTCTACCTGAGCAGCTGAAGCTGCGGCTTGCACCCTCGACACACAAACACACAGACGGTGCTTCTGCATGCCAGCCAAACGTGTGCGCAACTGTGAGAAATAAATATGTGAGGTGTACGCTGCTTTTCTATCTTTTTTTCCTTTTCTTTCTTTCTTTCTTTCCTTCTTTCTTTCTGTGAGCGACATACACTCCTAACACAGGACGGGTTGTTTTTATTGACTGAGTTAATTATTAAGCCATAGTGATGCGCGGATCGGCTCTGATAGCACCCGAATCAGCATGTACGCATCAACCATCCAGCCGTTACAACATGATTGAGCTAGCAAAGCAGTTTTGTGTTGCTATGTGTGTTATTTATTCAGTTTTGGGAAATCACGATGTCTAGAAAGCATCAGTGGCTGCAGCTGACAGGGACAGCTAACACTAGCAGCAAAGCTAACATCAGGACGTCATCTGTTAAAAGCCTTCCGTTGTCGGATACGACATGAAACTACTCCAGTTAGCGCAATCATGTTGTAGCAAAGACATCCGCTGGAAAAAAATTTTTTTTCACGGACCGTTTATTGATTTATTGAGTTATTACAGACACCACTAATGGCTAACGGCTAACAGCTAACGGTTAGCCCAGCTAATCTACGATAAACATGTTATTAATTACACACACAGAAATAGTAATGTTTGTTCAATCATTGTGTTTATAGACTTTACAAACATCAGATTAGTCTAAACGGTGATATAGTCACGTGAAAAATGTGATATATATACATATACATATATATATGTATGTATGTATGTATGTATGTATGTATATATACATATAGCTGGCTGTGTTCTGTTTTGCCTCTGTGTTTCCGTGAAAAATAAGGTGGATTAAGAATACTTGTTACCTGGAGAGGAAAACCAAAATCAAACCCTGAAAAGTGTAGGGTTAGCTAGCTAGCTACTGAAGATATAGCCTACTGAATGTATACACATGGTGCTGAATCAAAGATTGACCCTGCTGTACAGGAACCAATGAAGGGAAGCAGGGAAACTTTGCTGATATTCAACCAGCTGTGTGTCATCGCAGTGTGTGCAGATGAACAGCGTTTGACTTCCCCTGGAAACACCATTCATCTGCACACACTGCGATGACACACATCTGGTTCAATATCAGCAAAGTTTCCCTTTATATTCATTGTCTTCTGTGGCGATCAGCAGTAATGTGGTGGTTCACTTTTACACTGTGATCTGTAGCCTATATGATTGATTTGATTTTTTATTATTGTGTCATGCACCAGAAGTGCCCAGCCTGAGTGGGCTTACAAGACACCAAAAAAAAGAAACAAACGACAGCAAATGAAAAACCACATGTAGATACCAGACATTAGAGCAATTAAACATATAAACCATCCTGACGCTTTTTCCAGGCTTCACATACAAAATTAGCAAGCTTAAAGACATTAAAATTAAACAACCAGTTCATTCTATCATCATCAGAGCACCAGAGAATTTCTGGGTTTTTAACAGACATTTCGATAAATATTGGAGTTCTCAGTTCATCATACAAGGGACAGTATAAAAGAAAATATGATTCACTTTCAACTTCGTTGAGTTCACATAATTCACATAACCTTTCATCTTCTAGAATGTTTTTAAATCTGCCGACTTCAAGATTCAAGGTAAGGATTCCTGTTCTCAGCTGTGCCACTAAGGACCTTTGATTTCTTGTTAGGTTTGTTTTAACATAAGGTTTGGGGCCATAATTGCTTAATTTGGATATATGTTCGTAATTTGGCGAAAAATATATAATACAATAACAGAGTATTGATTCATATTTGATCAGTGCTGTTTAGTTTGACAGTTTGGTCACAGTTCTCCATCAGTGACACGATTGACAGCTGCATTAGAGACTCCTTGGCTCTGATTGGTTGCTTTTGGTGCACCGTGGTAGATTCTGGTAAACGCCAAAAGAGGCAATACAGTAGGAGGAGGGACATGATTTTTTTTTTCCGCAGACTACCTGTCTCATATAATACAGTACTACATACTGTATACATGTAGTGAGTCCCCAATCCCAAATGGATCCCTTACAGACTCGTTGACTCAAGCCCTAAGCCCTTACAGACCTAGGACCAATTCCATTTCTTCCCCTTAGCCCTTGTCTTGGCCCTTCTCCTTGGTTTTGCGTGTTCCATTGAAGAAATGGAATTGGTCCTAGGTCTGTAAGGGCTTAGGGCTTGAGTCAACGAGTCTGTAAGGGATCCATTTGGGATTGGGGGACTCTCTGCAAATATGACAAAAGGTTGTTTTAACCCTTTGAGACCTGGAGTGACATCACTTTTCTTTCTTCTGACTTCAGATGCCTTTCGCAAGTTTTTTAACATTACGATTTCTCTCAGAAACATGACAAAAAAGGCAATGAGCAACTTGGTAAGAAATGTCCCATGCCATGCAGGAGTGGAAATGTATGGAGAAATCCACATGTAATGACAGTGAGTATTAGACTGACTGAATGATTAAAGGATTGAGACATATTGTTTAAATTGCACTTATTTTTCTAAACTAATGCAAGACTGTTCATTATCTGTTCTGTAAATGGATGACTGCCCATGAACTAGACTAAATGAAATCAGCTAAATGAGTATGATACCCTGCTGTGGGGGTTATCCAGGGTAACGTAATGAAAATCAAGAGAGAGGGTATGACGCACAGCATTAACCTGTGTTTGATTACCACTGACCCAATCATCTCAGACACTGACATCAATACTCCCATGCATGGTTAACACCGACATAAAAGGGTCTGCAAAAATAGAACAAGTGCCGGCTTTTGCTGATGAAGCCAAAAACAATGCAGCCATTATCTGCCAAACACCCTGACAGAGAACGGGGACGGTGTCAAGATCTGTCGATTACTTCATGTAAAATCACAAATGGCATTGTGCTTCAGCTGTCATCTGGCGGTGAGTTGTTTATCGCTGCAGTAATGACGGGGGATGGATGTTTTGATGGAATTTTAGATCTGATTCATGACCCGGCGACCACATTAATCTCTGACCCTGGAGATACAGCTGTGATCCAAATATAAACAGGAGGGCTGCCCTGCCACCAAAATTTATTACAGAGGACTATAACCTGCTCCCACTGCTAAATTAATTTACAGGTCTATTAATGCAGAGACTGACTGGAACTACACAACAAATAAATCAACTTGGGTTTTTTCTGATGGTAGCAATAACATAATGTCTGACAAAATAACAGACTGAATGTACTACACATACTCACAACCTCTGTATATACAGCAACTTATACATTCAGTTAGTCATTACAAAATTTATTGCAGATTTATTTGTGCCTGTAAGCTTGAGTGTGTGGTACTGAAATATTTCCTGTTTTGTTTGTTCATACTGGGCCATTAAATGTGATTGTGGGTCTAATATATCAGAAAATTGACCCATATTTTTAATTATTTTTGATAAATGCGCAAAACACTGTTTTTTTTTGTATTATAACAATTATGAAATGATGAATTGGAAAAAAAGAGCTCTCTTCATAAGTAATGTGAGCACACAGACAAATAACTGACTGTGAGATACACTCACCGGCCACTTTACTAGGTACACCTGTTCAACTGCTCGTTAACACAACTAGCTAATCGCCAATCACGTGGCAGCAACTCAGTGCATTAAGACATGTAGACATGGTCAAGATGATCTGCTGAAGTTCAAACTGAGCATCAGAATGAGGAAGAAAGGTGATTTAAGTGACTTTGAACGTGGCATGGTTGTTGGTGCCAGAAACTGCTGATGTACTGTCCTCTGTAAACTAGGGTTTACAGAGGATGGTCTGAAAAAGAGAAAATATCCAGTGAGCCATAATGTCTTGTTGATGCCAGAGGTCAGAGGAGAATGGCCAGACTGGTTCAAGATGACAGAAAGGCAACAGTAACTCAAATAACCACTTGTTAAAACCAAGGTCTACAGAAGACCATCTCTGAACCAACAACACGTCGAACCTTGAAGCAGATGGGCTACAGCAGCAGAAGACCACACCCGGTGCCACTCCTGTCAGCTAACAACAGGAAACTGAGGCTACAATTCACACAGGCTCACCAAAACTGGACAATAGAAGATTGGAAAAACGCTGCCTGGTCTGATGAGTCTGGATTTCTGCTGCAACATTCAGAAAGCATGGATCCATCCTGCCTTGTATCAACGAA